ACTTGCGGGGGGGGGGCGAGGAGTTACGTAACTAAAGGTGGTTGTGCATCGCTAAGAAGTCTCGGGAGGGAAAGACCGGCGTTATTGCACACGTTCATGTACCTACGGCTTTGTATACCTAATGGAGCTTGTGCGACCGATTGAAAACGCGCGCGCGATCGGCTGCGCTGTGTACATGCTAAATCTCACTCGGGACGTATTAAAGAGATTTTCGTGTGCATAATGTTTTACGGTGGGCACGAGCTGTGACGTGTGATGAGCATTGTGCCTCTGGTACTCATACTTGCGAACGCGTACTTCCTTTGACTGGCTCGCAAACACGTGTAAGAGAGAAAATGATGCTTGAGTTATTTAGTCATCTGTTGACGTTGACAGGTGATAAATTAGAGTTTTTTTTTCATTTTCCAAGCCATACTAAGAGATATAACTATACAATTGCCGTTTCCGAGCTACTTAGTATACCAATGTCTCGTCATCAAGACATTTTTTTGAATCAAGCAACAGTTTTTTATGTTTTGTGGTAATATAATTATTCAACATTGACTGCAAGTTGTTTCATTCATTTTTATTAAGTGGTCCGCACTACTGAGCTTCTAGATGACAAATATGTTAAGTTGACTCACTTATTAAAATTTTTCAAAGTCACGTTTCATATAATTATGATCACGTTGACGTCAAGTCGGATAACTTCGCGATATCGAGATGATATACATTAAGAACTTGTATACACAAAACACGGATAAGTTTTTGTAACTGGTGCTTTTGTAAGTTCACCAACCCTTGATGATGAGATTGAAAATTGTTTCGTGTAGCAGTTTCCTGTTTGAAAAAAGTCCAATCAGCCCAACTCGTATCGCATTGTCACAGGAGCTACACATACGTATAACTATATGTAGTGCCTCGCGTGGGAAAAAATACGGGTAGCACGAAAATAGAGCTACGCAGCTTTATCATCGGCAGCACCATGAATAAAACATCGGACACTCCCTGCAGGGTAATGACAATTAATAAAACGAACCTTTGGACAAATGACTCTCGTGGCCGTAAAAAAAGACGAGGGAGGACTGAAAAAAGGAGAAAAAAGCCTCTATACACCCACGTTCTTACGGATCTCTTGTCATGGGCGTGGGTTGTAAGGGAAGAGGAGGTGCTTTTTGATGCCAAGAGGAAAGTAATACCTACAAAGCCCATGAAGTGATTATTTCAAAACATCACTGGCTTAAAAAATATATAGTGGCTACGTGGTTACAAAAATAGACGTCATGGTTCTGCGCTCACCACGACAAAAAGACCACACGTCACTGTTTTTGCCCTCCTGCACTTGAAAACCGGTGACCACGTCCTACCTTGTATTCTAAAGTTTTGTTGCGATTTTTTATTTTCAATGCTCTTTTTTTTTGGCTTACCTTTATTCTTGGAGATTTTGTTTTTGAAGGCTGCATTTCTTCCATTGAGTTGAGATGTTTCATTGTTTAAAGGTTCTTTATTTCAGGATTAGGATTTTCATGTGGTACGAATAGTTTTTATGAACCTTTGCCTCGTCATAACAAACCATAGCGTTAAAACCCATGTATCAGATGTAATGGACTTATTTATTTCAATTAGTTACAAAAAGAAAAGTTGTAAATTCTCTGCACCTTTAAGAAAAATGTGGACTTTTGTTTCTCAGTTAGGTAAGTATATAGTATGACAATAATTTTTGCCCCACGATTTGAATATTACAAAAAATTCTTGTAATACCAAAGTTAATACAACAACAGACGTTTTAAACTACACGCTATCTTGTTGATGCAAATGTATTCTTACTATTCGTTAATGTCAACTATTCATGAACTTACAGTACCGTCTTGATGTATATCTTGGAAACAACACAATGAATTATAATAAACAGTTTATGTCTACTGATGATTCTTAATAATTCTCATTAGATGACTATAAAAATGTTTGCTAATCTTTTTTTCGCTAAGCTCTTAGTCATTTGAATAAGCTTGAATATTACGTACAAGTAAAGCATATCACAGTCAAAAAACAACACGCAGTCACACATTTTCAAAATTTACACTGTAACATTTATTTTTGAGTTTTAAGCCTAGCCTATGTTACTTTTAAAATATTTTACTTAATAATACCTGTTCAACATTTTTTAACAAAAAAACGTATGCATACGATGTACTTATTCCATTGTAATCCAAATTATAAAAAATCGAAGAGATTTTTTTATGGCAGAAGGAGGAATTAAAACTTAGATTCAAATAAAAATACTTGTACTCAAGAGAGAGTCTAAAAAAAGTAAAATTAAAAATAATTGTCTTTATTTCTACGGCTCTCCCAACATATTCTTTTACTGATGCACCATTTCTCTGAATATCAAATCATAAAAGAAATGTTTCCTAATAGTTTAAAAAGTTTATTTGTTAAATATTAAAGGAAAACGTATCATTTTATAAAGACAAATATTAATGACATGTACTTTATTTCCGAATTTCCATATAGTAAAAGAAAATGTCTGTATTAAATGATCTCATAGGGTCATGTACTGAATGAATAGCACGTCTATCATACTTGAAATTACACATCTCTAAATTGAAACCACCAAATCAAGAAATATTTTTCTTACATTTGGATAAATCTCACTCTTAACTTTGATTTTGGCTCGACAAAATTACATTACTGCTCACTGTAGCTCAACTTTTAGCGCAGATACCTACGTTTCTGTATATTACAATTAGCCGTCATTGGTATGAAGATCAACAAAATTGTTATAAAAGTATTTTTGTATCTTCGTAATGGGTCAAAAAAAGAAAATGTCTTTGAAGGTTCCATTAAGGGGGTTCCAGCGGAAGGAGTTGAGAGGTCGTAGGTAGTTTAACTGATAGATAATAAACCACTGAATCAGCGGTGTCTTTATTTACCCCTCTAACCGTGGAAAATTTCGAGATATTTGCTTTCAAAGTTCGCACATTATACAAAACCTCTTATGGAGTAACATAAATACAGCCTTATTTTATAACCATAATGTAGAAGTTACACATTAAGACAGTAATTGTTTTATGGGAAAAAATCTCAGCATTCAGATGGTACCTTGCCAAATATAGGTAACCTTGAAAAAATTTGAGATTTCAGTAAAGTATTCAAGTCATTGTATTCGACTTGAATTAACGTACAGTTTTTACAGTTACACATATACATATACGATGGTGCTCGCACATATACCTGCAGGTGATACCAACTGACACAATTATTTCTGGGTTGGTACCAGTGCTCGATGGAGTCCCCTTAAACCTTCATCATTGAAAGCCAACCAGTCTCCTTGTCAATTTGAACTTTCTTACTCAACTTTTCTGGTTCCTGAAATGATTCAGGATACTTTATACTGTAAACACCCAACTTCGTCATTATGCGGAGTTTGAAAAGGTTTTCTAACTACTTAGACTCAAAACGAAAAACCCAGCCAAGTAAGATGACTTTTTGATGATGAAATTAATGATGCTAATGTCCATTGAGAAAAAAAATTCATTGCTATTACGTATCGGTATGTAGGTAAAACCCGTCGCCACGAAGCTTCAAGATCAAGTTTGAGCTTCAGCCGCAAAGTAAGTGCAGGGCGCAGACGAGCATTCATACGTTCAACCCATTGGCATTCACTTATTTTCCAGAAGCCAATCTCGTACGTCAAGAGCAAACATCGGCACAGCGAGCGTACGCGCGTACGCACACCTGCGTCACATCCCTGTTTACGATGGCGCTAACAACACACTCGCCAGCGTATCCTCTTCGACAAGTGTATATCTATACGTGGCAAGTGGGAGGAGTCTTCCAAGCAACCTCAGCCCCCTCCGTATTCCTCTCCTTGTTCATCCCTCCCACTCTTCCTCCTCCGCCGGCGCACGACAACGAGAGTCAATCCGGCAACTGAGGACGACTCTAACCCCCCCCCCCCACCACCACCACCTTCGCCACCAGCCGTGACCAACGCCACGGCTTAGCAGTACAGGAGCGCTAACGACCCTCCTCAGCGCATCAGCTCGACGACGTCGACGATGATGATACGTGAGTGGCGCCCATCGAGGGGAGGGGAGGCCAAAGACCGTACGGCCCACGTGACCGGCATCCGAACGTGCCGATTGGCCGCCAGCGCCCTTGGCCCGCCCGCCCGCTCGCCAGGAGGGCCACGCGTCCTATCCTCTTTCTCTCTCTCCTGTCGCGTCTCGTTTCATCCCGGTGTACGGGCACCTACACATCTTGTCTATCCGTTCTCTGCCCCGTGCTTGCGCGCACCCCCACACGGTTCTCCGCGTGCGCGCGGCCAGACAGGGAAAAGAGAGCAAGAGAAAAGTGTGCCATGACTACGAGTCGAGCCCAGCAGGTACAGTCCCATCCATGCAGTCTAGTCGCGCACGACCTCGAGCAACGAGCAGCGGCGGGGTTTCGACGCGCGTGTTACAACCCCTCCCCACCTTACACCCCCCTAACAACCCCCCCCTTCTAATATCTCTCTCGTCATCGTTGTTGATGTTTCGAGCAGGTGTTGGTGGTGGTGGTGGTGCAGCGCGTTGCGCAGAACTGTGGTATTTGGCTGTACTAGTTGTTTAGTGGTGGTTTGTGGTGCTTTGTGATGCGGAACTGATTGGTATTCGGTTTCAATTTGTTTTTTTGTTTGTTTTTTCTTTATTATTGTTATTTTTGTTTTCTTTTTTTTTTTNTTTTTTTTTTTTTTTTTTTTTTTTTTTTTTTTTTTTTTTTTTTTTTTCATTAATTATATTTTACCTGGAATTTCGGGTGAAATTTTAAAGGATCCAACTGAGGTTTGGAGAGACGATCGCGGGGTGCCGGACAATGGAGATAGACGTCGATCGGGCGTGCGTACCGATAGTTCGTCAAGTGCGCGCTTGATTGTTTCGTTGATTTTGTGCCGATAGAGACATTGTGTGAGAATAAATAAATAACAGTATAGGGGGAGGAAAAAGAGGAGACTCGGTGACTAGTGTTAGAAGAGGATAATGTTGCCGTATCAAGTGGCAATGGATTACGGGGGATTTCAACGTCAGAGCCCGGTGGGCGTCGGCGTGGCCGGTGCCCACCACCAAGGCACGGCCGGACCGCTCAACATCAACCCCGCGTTCACGCACTCCTGGTTCGTACCGGCGGACCTCTGTGTCCCGTACAAACAGAGTCAGGGTCCTCTCCTCGAGCCAGGGCATGTTATGTTTATATCTTTCTACATATTTTTTAACATTGTTAACATTGTCATTTCATTTACGGGCCATTTTTCTATCTTTTTTAATGGTCCGTTATTTGCGTGTCAGTATACACCGATAAATGATGCATTTTGGATAAAACTATAAGAAAACATTCAAATCTAGAACTTTTGTCATTTTGACACCTACAACGAAACATTATTAGTCTTATACAATAAATATTGTACAACAAAAAGCAAACTATTAATAATATTAACTTTATTATCATATAACAAAACATTAGATTGAAATTTTTTTTAAACACATGGTTTAATTGCTAATATTTTTTTTTAATCATGTAATTACTGAGGAATTAGGAAAATTCATTTGTGGAACTATTTAGGTTTTCTAACCGTAACAAGAGCTTTTGTCCTTTTGAATATTTATTTGTATTTCAAACGATCAATGAATAATTAGAGTTAAGCTGATCATTTTTATAATTTGGGGAAGCGCGTTTACGAATGTGTCTACAAATTTGATGGATCCATTTACCAAAGGGACACTCCTACAATAAGAAGTAAAAATCTCCCCCTCCATCTAGTAAGCCAACAAACTCGTAACTTTGTAAGGAATAAGAAGCTGTTGTTGCAAAAGTCTGACTCAAAAACTTGACATTAGGGTTTTTAACAGTAACAACAATCTGAGTACAATAACCACCCTGATACCATTTATCAAACCATTGACTTAATGTTACCATGTGAAATATGTAAGAGTTTTTTCGTCTTTTCTATGTTAGATCTTTATAGTCAAGGTTTACGAGGATTTAAATGATGATTTTTCAAATTAAATTGTGATGATCCAAATTAAAAATGAGGCGCAAAGTTCGTGTAACCCTTCACTTATGAGGAGTAAGGTAGCAAAAACCCGGTGTCCCGTAATTTGTTTTTTAAATAAATTTGAATTTTACATGGTCTTACTTGAAAAATTACTAAATGAGTTTACTCTACTTTTTTTTATATTCCTGTGGAAAAATTAAGGCCATTATTAGCTGTTTAAACTAGAAACCAGAAATTTTTACTTTTCTTTTTACGCAATCCAATAACAACAACCGAAGAGGAAAATATTAAAGTTTACACTTTTATTTTCAGTATTTTAATCATCATGAGTGGCATTAAATTAACAAGAGGCATCCATACAAAGATGCAAATAAAAAAGCAACACAATGAGATATGAATTGACAAGCACATCTGACGTCACTATCAAATCCAATTAGACCGAACACTAGAATCTTTATGCAAAGGCCTTCAATTTCAATTTTAATGATGTATGGTTACATAAACAATTAAATTGAAAGGAAGAAAGGTTTCATTTACATTGGCCGAGTACACAAGAATAATCCAAATAAATATACAAATGTGTGACATTTATTAAGACAAGTTCTTCCTTTGCAATTTAATGTCACGTTTTTCTCCTAGACTTATTATGTCTTCTGTTTTGTGTAGCCTTTTATCGATTTGTTGAATATTTATTCATAAATCTGTTTTGATCTTGCATTGGAGTTTTATTATAACACCTCAATAGTATCAATATTTTTTTGTTTTTTTTAAGGACCTGTTTGCAAAATAGCAAATTTCATGATTACTTTTTTTTGCCAAAGTATCGATACATACTATTGTACCCTTTTTTTGGACTTTGGAATGGATGGTTTACCTGTACATTGCATGCGTTTGTACTTTACTTAAAAATATTCGGGTATTGTCATCAACCAATGAAACGCCGTCCAAAAAGGTTAGCTTCATTGTTCATGCAATAAAAGTATTACAAGTTATACAGCGAAAATATGTCATGGAAAACGCCACATGCACTTGATCGAGGACGCAATTTCCCGTGCAGTTAAAAAGAAAATCGTACATAGCGGCACAAATGATAAGCACGAAGAAGGACCCAGCAAAAAACTGTATATGATGCGCTGCAATCGTGACCTGAAAATCTGGTGGAGTGGAGGGAGCACCATCCAATAAATCCTTATCCTTATCAAACAACGTGGCCGTACAGGCTTATCACTTGGTCCAAGAGAAAAAAACGGACGATTAAATTAATACAACGAGACCCCAAGAGAGGGAGAAAGAAAAAAAAGGAAAACAGCTTGGGCTGCAGGTTTTCGATGGCAACAATGGTGCGTACAAGTCCCAGGAGAGCTCCGTCACCGGAGCAAGTGGATAATGGGGCGCGCCGATGGCTGACAATAGGGCCGAGAACGTGAATTTCCCTAGCCCTGCGCCTTTCGTCCGCCCTCCTCTTGTACGTGACACATACTCGCGAGCGAGCGCGTGTGGGCGAGAAAAGAGGCGGTTGGGCCGCTGCAGGGGCGAGAAAAGAGAGCACGTCACGCCGGGCTCGTAAAGTCTAGGTGTGGTGTTTGGGTCCTCACTGGACGCGCTGCCGCTGACGGAGCAGCCCAGGGAGCCGTCAACACCTCTTTTCATCCCGTAACTCTCTCTTCATCTGCTTGTTTTATGAGGTATCGTTCTCTCTCTTTTGTTCTCAAACTTAGTTCTTTTTTTTTTTCTTCGGGTTTCTGGCTTGGTGTGGACACTCGATTACGACTGGTCGTTTTTTCAGAGATCGTCAACTGCCACTGGCATTGGGCTCGTCCAGAGAATGGACGATGGGTGTTTTATGATGATGGAAAAGTGCGCTCTTTTTGCTCCTTAACGGGTCTCGCACTCCATCTTTTTGGACTAGGATCGGAAGTGCGATTTTTAGAATTGCAGAAACTTTGTATCGTCTTCATCTTTTGAAATTTCTTTTTTGAGTATAAGGATAATAACTTTTGTTTGCATACCGATGGTTTGGTTGATGTATTCATGATTCGGTAGTCCACACAGTTTGGCTCTACTCCGTTAGAATTGAGGAAAAATTTAAAGGTCAAGAAAATGATTTTGAAATAGGTCCAAAAAAAGAATGTCTTGAAATAAGGTTAATGATTTCTTTACTTTATGAAAAATATCAGCTTTTAACAAGTCAATATTCCTATTGTAAAAGGATATCATCTTATTCTGGGGAAGTATTTACCTGGTACTATTTTAGCAATTTTTTTTCTTAGTTCTAAGACATTTTGTTCTCTTAGTGAGTGTATGATCCTTAATAGACATTTGAATTTATTACAAATTAAAGTCTTTAAGCGATGGACTTAATGTTACATAATTCTTTTTGTTTGTTTTTTCTTTATTTAAATTTTCAATGTGTGTATAAAATTTTCTGGTAATGTTATGGAACTGATAAATTTCAATTTATAAAGTCTACGTGTATAGAGTCTTACCAAACATTCAAATAAGAAAGATATTTTTCTGTAGTTCTTATCCTGGCTACGTGCAATAAGTTCCAGGTATAAATAGGGTTCTATGTGCAAACCTATTCCAATTACTTTGGCTGCCTTAAAATGTCATCGTATTCAACTTGCTAGTATGGAACACAACTATAACAATATGCTTAAAAAAATTACAAAATATACTCTAAGGCATAGTTTTCCGGAGTTGAACCCAAGAGGCCAAGTGAACTGACAAGTTGGCAATAAATGATGCATTCTTTTTTTACGTGAATTCAAAAACTATTAAAATAAATTAACGGTTCTGTTTTCTATTTTTTATTTTTTGTTTCTTTTATTATATACTTGAAAAAAAAAAAAAAAAATTCTCTAGTGCTATTCCTTAATTTTCATTTAGAGTATTATTGCGTACTTATAAATAAAATTTAGGCACTAGAACTACTTCAAAGATACATATATAAATATCCAAGTTTTTAACTGCTTGCCTTGATTTCAAAACAAGATACCGAGAGTTTCTCAACAGAACTAGATTTTTTGATGTACTTGTAGCATAAAACATGTTCTTAGATACTTAATTTAATAATTACAGTGACCCAAAACTATGACAGTGTCCTTGCCAGCTCACTAAATGTTACTTTCAGCTAAACTTGTGCAGAATGTTTGTACTTCTTAAATTACTTGATTATAAACAAGAAAAGAGTCGTAAATCCCTGGAGGAGTGATACAATAATGAGTTGAGAAAATAAATTATTTCTTCAATTACATCTAGGTATATAGGATAACTGATACAGTTATAGGCGGAATTGACAATAGTTACCACTAGATATTAATCCGTGTGCTCATTGTGTTGATAATATGACACAAAAAAATAACCAACCGTTATGGATACAAAGTACTAGAGAAACATTACAAAAATTGTTATTTTCTTAAAATTACTTTATAAAAAAACTCAATAGACTAACTGTTTTTAGATTTATATGTAACTATGTGACTTTGAACCTCCTTGTGTTAATTGAGGTACAAAAGATATTGAGTAGCCCGAAACATTACTTCACTTTTTTATCAACTTCAACTTGAATTAAAAGCAAAAAAAAAGATGAAAATGACCCCAAGATGGTAACTATCTCGTGTACCATGCCTTTAATTGCAATATCCTTCTATTGAGAAATCAAGAAGTGTTCTTGTTAGAGTAATCGAATATTACACAAATCAATGGACAAACTCAAAATAACTGTGTTACAGGTACAAGGATTTCCTTGCAATAGTGCCATTTACCCTAATTTCCCAAGAGTTTTATCAAGAATATGTATGTAACTGTTTAAATCAATGTAACCAACGTTATTCAACAATATTCATTAAAGATGTATTCCTATTAGACAAATCTGGAAGTTAATTTTTAAAATTATGAAAAAGATCACTTAGCTATAAACAAATGTCAATTACCTGAAAGTTGTCAGATATCTGAAGGACTTGAGTATCAATCTACATCTTTATTCGTATTGATGGTATGTTTAAACCACGTCGTATTTGCAGTCATAATGAAATTGAAAAAAGGCCATCTCAGGGCATTTTCTACGGGAACAAATGCGAGCATGATGCCAATAAACCTCATTCTGACCGAAAATGGAAGGCAGAAGGAGAGTGAAATCAGTGACCGCGCGACTCTACCTGCCTCTCTCTCCCGCTTACCTA